GCTAATTCAAGCTCGAGAAAGTCAATAAGTACACGTATACCTCGGGATATGGATAAATTAAAATACCTCAGCGAGCATGAAAAGTACGCAAGTGCTAAAAACAACACGAACGCAGCTGTAACAAAGAATAGCACACTCTATTAGCTATGACAGGCAAGAGGTGGGAAGAGAGATCATTTGGAGCCGGGTTATGGTGCCTGTAGCCGGACTTTTGGAAATACATGCATGTGCATGAAACCGAACGTACAAACAGTGTTGAAATAAAGCTGTGCAGAGTTATGAGGCTAGCCTTATAGTATCACGGAGCAAAATATAGAGCCAGCGTGTACAAGGCAACATGAGGTGGACATTATACGAAGGAAGAGAGTCACTGAGAGTCCAAGAAACGCCGGGCGTGGCTTGTTCGCAATTCTCGCCTCGTGATTGGCTTGTGGACATTCATATAGGCTAATACTGCAATCTGATTGGCTGAGCAGCGATAATGAGATGCTCGGGGCTCGCCACGCCCTGGGTTTTTTTCAGCTGTCAGTCACTAGAGTTAGATAGAGCGCCAATGTGCACGAAGAGTTTTCGACTCTTTGTATACATGTGCAGTATCAATGCAAAAATGATGGAGGCGAACCAGGAAACGGACAGCAAAAGATTTATACAGTTGTAAAGGACGGGCAGGGAAAGGGGAGGGGGGATAGATTCGGAAATATTAGTTAAGAAGAGATTTAGAGTGAAAGTGAGGAACCTGTCGAAAGCAGCCATCAAGAGTAAATCAACCTTGGGCCGTGTAGATCGTTCAAGACGAATGTTGCTAGAGAAGTTTCTATTTATGGCACTTCAAAGGAAGCGCTCTGTTTTTTTCCCGAGGCCAGGTCAAGAGTGTAGCGGACCAAGAAAGAGCTATCGGAAGATAGACACAGTGTGTGAAGCATATGGAAAGGAGGGTGAGATATGGCGCGGCACTTGAGACTCGGTTGAGCATGCACTTGATACTGCGCGATTAAAGCTTGTGTATATACGCCGGTTAGTCAGTGAGTGTCGTGAAACGTGCGGCTTGCGGCGTGCGCCGTTGTTATGAACGACATTATGCCTCCTCGTAACTATAATATTGAAGCTTTTGCCACTCGAGCCGCGATCACCGCGCGTGCTCGCCTATCCCGTCCAACAGACTCGTTCGATTCCGGCTCGTTCGAGCCGGAATAGACCTATAGACCTTTCCAGAAAAGGGCTGCTGGCCGGTTTCATTTTCAGTGTTCGTGCGTATCGCGCGTGATTTGCTCGCTCTCCGAAGCGACGCACACGCGCGTGCTGAGCTGTGGAGATCGCACGCTGAGCTGTGCATTTGTAAACATTGGAAAGGTCTATAGACCATTTGCTATATTACCCAAGCATCAAGGATAATGCAGGGATTGCTGTTTCACGCGCCACACGCGCACGCCTTCCCCGTATAAAAGTTTCGAAGTAAACAACCAAAATAAAGCGTTGACGAACGCGCGTACAAGATGCAATTTGTTTTAGGCATTTGCTTGAGAAAAGTTACGAAGGCCAGCACGTGCGGCGCGTGGAACACCAATCCCTGCCTTCTCCTTGATGCTTGGGTAAGATATATTACCCAAGCATCAAGGAGAATGCAGGGAAATAAGAGTAACGTAAGAACTTAAATTTCGACGGTGTTGGCAGTGTTCGTTTCAGAGTGCAATGATTTCAAGCCTCCATTATGCTCATTACAAAAACCATCGAATTTGTTGTTCGCAAGGTAATGACGTCACGAGAGGGAACCATAGCAGGGCGCCGCCAAAACATCTCGCCGCTAATAAGGAGTATTCACTGGGCGCCATATTTGTGGGTGCTGTCTAGAGCGCATGCTCAGAACGAACCCCCATCAATAGGCTGCTAAGACCGGCCATTTTGACGGCGTGGAATGCACGTTGCAAAAGAACCCTGGAACGTAGCTATCTGCACGCGCTCAGCAGTCGCGCACACAGCTATGGCCGCCAGTGAATACTTCCTATACCACGCGTTCCGAGAGAATGATGAGAAACCAACGCTCCAGAAAGCACGTTACGCCTCGAAGCGCGAACACAGCGCACGCGAGGTTCTTCTCACCAAGCAGTCGCGCTCGAAACGAATTCGCGACCCACAGCCGGCCAAGCACATATGAGACAGTCGAGGAGAAGGCATGCACCCTCGTTCAGAAAGAGTCAAGGCCGGTAGACGCAGTCTGGTGTGTTGCTTATTCTCCGTCGCACGGACGCAACACTTCACCGGGCATACGGGAAGTGTGTGCGCCTGAGGCGCGGACGTAAGAAAGAGCTGTTTTCCGATTGGGCTTGGCTTTTGGAACGAAGCAGTCTTTTAAACTTCTGGGCGACACGCTTTCTGAATCTGAAGCCCGCCGCCACTGCCGTATCTTGTGGATGCAAGTCGCGTTCTTGCGCGACTTCATCTTCGGTGTTCATTTTCGCGTATTGGGTAGACCCCTTTCGAAAGTCTGCCCTATGCCGAACTCTGTTGGCTTCCTGCACGATAGCGGACACAAAAGACACTGCCAAAGCTGGAGTCATTCCTAGAAACGCTACGAATTATATTTCATCGCCATCTTAATGACTGCGCATAAGCAAGGACTAAGACGCTGGGCATGCGCCGTGCTGACAGCAGCGCCACCGCAGCAGGGTGACGTCAGAGTCGCGCATTGGTCTATATAGTTTTAGAATATTGGACTTTGCCACTGTGTCAAAACCACTATTCAATGCAATCACTCAAATACACACTTCCTGCTATATTGAACACCCTAATAAAAAATAACACGGATAATATTTAATCGCAATTCAGGAATTACGAACTGAACTAATGTTGGACGAAAGCGAATGAATCGATTTATGAGATCTATTTGATTTTTTGCTTTGTTATGTCGGTTTTCTCAGTGTTTTACGCTGTTGCTTTGTTTTGACTTCTGTATGTGCCACTACAAGGGAGCAAGGCTGTTATTACAGCTTTTTTCCCTTCTTTCCTCTATTTATGTGTAAAAATAGAAAATAAGGTTCCTTAATAATAATAATAATAATAATAATAACTTACACATTCCGCGGTGTCTGTTCTTTCACTGGCGGCCATATCTGGGTGAGCGATTGCTGAGCGTGTGCTGATGGCGAGCTTTCACAGTTATTTTGCAAGGTGCATTTCACACCATCAAGATTGCCGGTCTTAGCAGCCTCTTAATGTAAGCTCGTTCTGAGCATGCGCTCTAAACATCGCCCTCAAATAGGGCGTACAGTGAATACCCCCTACAAAGCCACTCAGCTTGGTCAGCTACGCTTCAGCGCAACGACAAGTCACACTCCAGCCGTCTTTGTGCTTAAAATCATTGTTGCCAGATATCTGAAGCCTTGTCTAAAATCTAAAAAAAAAAAAAAAAAACACGGTTTTTCGTTTTTTTTTCATAATTGTTAAGACAGACTGTCTCTAGCGTCTCTAGTTCCGACCGTCTGACAATTGATACGTATATAATTTCAAGAGGAATCTTAGCGAGGATCCAGAGCCGTATATGTAGAGAGTTTGGCCATTCGTTGGGAAGTACAGGAGACAAATGAGGAGGCGCCATTGGCCGCAAGCGGGCTGGGCGTGTTCCAGGGCGTCTTCGGAAATTCGAATGTGACCAACCAGAAGCCGGAAACAATACCCTGGCGGTGGTCGTGAGAAACAAACCTGATAACTGCATTGGAGTAACTCTTCGATATATATAATACGTGTAACTCTTCGATATATATAATACGTAACTCTTCGATATACATATAATCACGTGTACCAAATATGGTACACGTGATGTTTCAATCACGCTCATCCGAAATAATGGTGGAAGAGTGCGACTAGCGGAACGATCGACATAATCCGTACGCCAAGCGCCGAGGGCCGGGAATCTGCCGTCCGAGCGGTCGCACTCTGTTCGAGCAAAACAAAGTTGAGCGGCGCATTCGTTTCTTACATCTTTCTGCATGATCATGATCAAAACAACACTTGAACCCTATTTTCAACCACGAAGAGTTACTCCACTTTACTCTTATGCGCTTATTAAAACCATATGCGAACATAGACTTTTGATCAGAACTGCTTTTCGCTACCACCGCTAGGGGATTTCTTTCGGCTTCTGGTTGGTCAAGAGAGCATGCCAAGCCCTCTTTCCGAGTCTGCCGCACGCCCTGGCTCTGCCCGCACCTCCCATTGACCAAACTCTCTACATATACGGCTCTGCGAGAATCGACCGGTGCATACGTGTATAGGCCCCTTTCGAAAGTGTGCCCTCTGTTGGAATCTGTGGAATCCCTGTACAATGGTGGACACGAGTGCAAGCTTTTGCATTCGATTTCGCCCTTGCTGCCCGAGCCCTCGAGCAGAGGGAGCACAAGTCAAAGCTACCCGCTCACTCTACTCGCACGTTCAGTGACGACGGTTATTCCACCATTGTACCAAAAATCAGGTCTTCTTTCAATCGTCATGTGACTTTCGAAAGGGGCCTATAGAAAGCGACTAAGCATGCCTACTTCCCGCGTCTGAAATTTTTAATTCCAAAATAGAAGGGACATTCTAAAGGTTTTCAAACCGAATGCCTTTATACTTTATCGAATCCTTAAACCAGCTCATGCCGCGTGGCACGGGCAAGTTGAAAACGAGATCGCAAGGTGATTCGCCACAAGCCGTTTTAAATGCACGTGAGTTAAGGAGGAAGGAAGGAAGTACAGAACAGGAAGACAGAATTTAACACGAGGTAATTATTCCGGTTGGCTACTTTGTGTTGTGAGGGAGGAGTGAAGAGATGAAAGAAAAAAGGTTTAGAAAGGAAAGGAAGCAGAAAATAAAATACGTAATAGAAGATTGTCAATGCGATCTTCTAAAATTAAATGTCTGCGCACGAAATCAGATTCTTGATTTGTTGCCGAAACCTTTGAACAACTGAGTGAAAACTCAAAGGTACAACTAAGAGAAAAAAAAAGTAAAAAAGGAGGGGGAGGAAGATGTCGCCGATCGACGCTCATGTAACACCAAAAAACGTAAACTGTAAAAAAAGAAAAAAGGTTAGCGCTTAAGCATTTATTTTTGAACACAACTAAACGCAATTAATTATTTTGGCTACACGAACAATCTTCCGCAGTTGTTCACAGACATGTTTTCTTTTTTTGTGGCTAAGGTTGCAAATGTGTATTGGACATGTCCGCAAGAAGTGTTTGTCGTGTACCATTCTGGTGGGAAGAGGCACCTATAGTTGTATATAATAGGCAGTGAGTGAACCTTGTCACACATTAACTTGAACTCACTAAAACAATGTAATTCTTCTAAAGACCATGATCTATGCTCCTCTCTTTCACCATTCCTCTTGCAGTGGTTCCTGTTACTGGTCCTGATCTTTGGGGTTCGCTGCGACAAGGAGGACTCAACTACAGCCACAACTATCAAACCTGCGCTTTCGTTCAAGTTGCATCGACCCGCTGGCTTCAATAAAAATGGCTCCCGCCCCATAAGCGGGGTATTTGCCAAGAGGAAGCCCCTTTTTGGGAGCAGACGACTGAAGGCCTTGCTAGAAGAGCAAGCTACGAGTACCGAAAGTCATCTGAACGCCGTGCCTGACTTCAAGAAAGCGACACTGGAGGATCAGGCCGACGCCACGCCCCCCACTACGACAGTCTTCCCGCCACCGCCTTTACTAAGGCCACGTCCCGTGGCCAGCACCGGAAACGTGCCCCAGGTGGTGCCTACGGAACCCGACTTCAATCCAAGTTCCTTCTTCACGGGTCGCAAGAAGGGGCCCGTTGTAATCGTCAAGAGGTTCCCTAAGGGGCAGCAACAGCTTCAGCCCGATTATGACTCGGGAGGACCCTCCACTGGACCCTCTCCGAGCGAGGACCCGCCTGGTATCCCGCCGTCTGCAGGACTGCAGAGGCCCGTTCCGAGACCAGGCTACGGTTACCAGCCACCCCCAGACTTCTACGGGGGTCCCAGTCCGTTGGACGTTCTTAGGGGAAAAGGTATACCTCGGTTCTTCAGCCAGAGAGACATTGATTTTGTGGCGCAAGCGTTCAAGAACGCAGCAGCCAACGGAACCATTCCCACCATCAGCATTCCGGCCTTCAATGTTCCTACGGCTAACCAAACAAAACAGTCCGAACACCCTCAAAGTGCCACCAACTCTGGCAACCCTGAGAACGGCTACTCCGGACCCGGACGACGCGTGCCAGAATCTGTTCTGCAGCAAGCCTACCCAAGAGGTTATGATCCGTACACTCCTCAGGCGAGAAGGCCCGAGCTCGCGCAGTACCCGGTGCCCAACGGGGGACAGAGCCCGGTTCCGGGGCCCCGCTTCAACGCGCAGCCGCCCGTCTTTCAACAACCTAACGGCGAGTATAAGACAGGTTATCAGCCGCAGGGACCTCCGGGTCTGAACGCAGGTCGCCCACAAGCAGGGGTTTACCTCAACGGAATACAGCAACCGGCGTACCCAAATTACGTCTCTAATAATGGTTACCCGAGAAACACCGGTGATGACGACGGCTACCAAGTGGATCCGAGGTATTTCAGAGGTGCGTTTCCCATCGGGCAGAACCCGCCACAGGTCGGCCAAGTTCAATCGTTCAACCAAGCCTTGCAGAGGCTCGCAGGAAATGGCCGCGTCCACGGCAACCAGCAACCCTTAGGTCAGGGTTCTCCCCAAGGCGGAACGAACCCTGGACTCCTCTACCAAAATTACGTACCCGTCCAGAACCTCAATTCTGCGGGATACAATCCTTCCGGTCTCGCGTCCTTAGCCGGAGCCGGCTACGTTCCCAACGGCGCAGCTGCGCGGGGATACAGATTCCTGCCGATACCTAGCAACGACAGGCTGATCACGAGTCCGGACGAGGCATTCGCCAACAGCTTCACTCCTAACCAACTCGTCGAGTTCAGGGACGGTCGAGCCATTCCGGTCCAACCCTCGTACAACGTCTACCCGGATAGGATGGTGCTAGGCTACCCTCCCCAGTCACCGCCGCCGGTGAATCCCAAGACCGGAAGGTCGTCAAGTCCGACGGGGATTCGGCGGCCGCTGTACCAGAACGATCCTGGAGTCTTCAGGCTGGAAGGCGGCTTCCCATTGGCCCAGAAGAGGGCTAGCTACGGGCCCGGTCGGAATGCCGATTTCGGATACACGTCGGCATCGCACGACAGCATGTATTCCTATCGACCTGACGTCATTCCTCGTTGCGCCAATGCCAGCAAACAAGTTCCCTATTGCCTTCAGGATGACGAATATCCTCAGTAAGTGTTGACCCCATTCTTAACCTTATTCTTTCGCAACTATAAACTCCGATATGAAAAAAGAATTTATTTTTATATATACAGCATGCGATTATTACTTCTTTTACATAACGGTGGTGCTTAATATGAGCGTAGCAGACCTAGTGAACAAAGTATCTTTCTCGCTCACTTTACGTCTAAGATCAGAAGGACAATTGTATCTTGTTATTTTTATTCTTAAGATTGTGCAAATAATTCTGCTAGGGCTATTTCTCTATCACAATAACTAAACGCATTAACTTTAAAATCGCGGCTTTGGTATACGAAACCTGCTTGTACGTCGACTTTAGTGTCAGTTACTAATGAACATTATGACTTATACAGCCTTTTTGTATGAAGAGCCAGAGGTTTAGCTGCAACAATAACCATTTTTAGGGTGTACGAGATACACTAAATGGTCTCTACCTGAATATAAATTACATTTACTAAGTTAGAAGCATTTTCTCGTCTAACTTAACTATCTTTCTGCTCAAGACGACGATGCTTCCTATCTTCTTTCATAAAACGATTTTTGAAAATTCAGTGCAGGGATCCTTTCAACTCAAAAATCAAACTGTCCTAAAAAAACAAAAAAACATTTGCGTTTGCGTGGCAATTGCGCAATCAGCTTCTAGAGCACAAAGCGTTGTCAAATTCCAGCTAATATGAATGGATTTTGTAATTCCAGCAAGTGGCGCCGTAGTCCTCTTTAAGCAAATTCTTGAAGGGAAGTTTAGACAGCGCGGCAAGGTAGTCTGCCCCAAGGAACGTATGATGTCACCCGCTGTACGTAGATGAGAAGTGTAGCCTGCGCGTCACAACTGCTAGCCTGGCGTCTTCAACGTGCACAACGCAGTAGTGATTACACAAACACGCCGGTACGATGACCGTCCAGATCAAAGCGGGCAGGAACGGGGATCCAACCCAGGACCCGTGGGTTCTGCAGCGCGTTGAATCCCATTTCTAGTGACTCACAGATCGAAACTTGGATATCTCAAACTCTGGCAACATTTACCTTCCCACTTCCTGCTGGAAAAAAAAAAAAAGAGTTTTATTACATTTGTAAGTCTACCTCACTGCTAAATTTGTTTTTGAGTTTAACACATTTACGCATAGTAATATCCTGTAATGAGGGAGGGTCAGTTGCGGTTTCTGAATGGTTGCAGATATATGGACATGACTTTTATTTTCAAGTTATCTGTGATACAACAACGAATGATAAAGAAAAAAAATATTACCCTTTTTCTTGGAGCTGTTTCTGGTATTCACTTAGATTGTAAAGACTGCTCAATGTTATTTATTTATTTATGGTGCTCCCAAACAGCTTAAAGGCCTAAATAGGGTTGCACGTACACATAGTTTATAACAATAAAAAGAAAAGAAACAAATATGGTCACGACCAAATGAGCAATTACTGATCGTACACATTTTTTAATCATTTCAAAGGGCATTCCAAATATCGATGTCAGCGTTATTTGACTTACTTTAGAGAAGTTGCATACGTATCAAGGGAGTTTCGGATTGTGAGGAGTGCGGGTAATAAGGCATATTGTGTCTATTTTGTCGTCTGGGAACTCAATAATAACAATTAATAACAAATAAGAAAAAGGAACTCAATAAGAGCATTGAGTACTTTGAAAGGAACACTAAATCACGAATAGTCTTCTTTCAGAAAGAGGCGAGAAACGAAGTATTCTAAAATGCTCACATAATCATAACAAAGGTTACGTCCGATATTGCTATCATAGACAATTCGAACAAGCCGTCATTGCACACATTCCAAATGGTGGGTTTGATTAACGTCCAGGTAATTCCATACAATTGAAGAAAATTCTAACTTTGACAAATTTAGTGAGCGAAAAAGATGAAGTATACACGAATAGCTGTGGACGTTTTGAGTAATACGTGATATTACGCTTAGCAAACAAAACTAATCATTGAGAATTTTACTAATACGAGCACCGAACTTCAGGCGTAAATCAATCAAAACTCCCAGGTCACACACAACTGAACACCTCGATATGTCAGAGACATTTAATGTATAATGTAATTAGTCTTGCATGAAAAAGAAACAATTTAAGTTTTTATGGGATTTAAAGATAACATATTAGTATTACACCAAAAATGTATGGCATGAATGTCAAGTTGCAATAGCTCACAGTCTGCAGTAGTGTAATGCTAAGATAAATTTTAACATCGTGAGGAAATTGAAGCACCTCTGAATTGCCTACACTAGTCGCAAGGTCATTTACAAATATATTAAAAGTAGAGGTCTAAGGTTAGATCATTGCGGCACTTCGGATTTTAGGACGTAAGGAGAAGACCTCTGCGCTAAGTAAGATACCGTGTTCGGGCGATCCCTGAGATAGCTTTCAAACCAATTACAAAAGCCTAAAGCAACACCAAGGGTAGATAACTGTGTTAACAATTGGGTGTGATCTACACGATCAAACGCTTTAGAACAGTCAAAATAAACTACATATGCCTTCGCTCGGGACCCAACGAGATGTTTTGCACATTCCAAGAAGGTTATAAGGCTTGTCTCAATATATCGTTCGTGGCAAAAACCATGCTGGCACAGAGTGAGCATGCGCTTCAAATGGAAACTGATATGCTTAAAAATTTGATTTTTCAAAGACCTTAGAAACGGTAGGGAGCGGTGCAATTAGTCTATAATTTTCGACACACATGGTGCTTCCAGCTTTGTGAACTGGCACAATTAAAGCGTTGCTTCATGCCGAGGGGAATGTACTTATCTTAAGGGATATATTGACAATATATAACAGCTCAGGAGTCAGTATTTCACAGCACCCTTTGACTATGAAGGCAGGAATCCTGTCTTTCACACAGGATTTTTTTTAGAACAAGCTTCTTAATTGCAGAAAACACTTCATCATAAGTCAATTTAGGTGTGAACATACGGCGGAACGTATCTTGACACGTGGTTGTAATAGCCGACAAGGGTGTGATGGGATTTCGCATAGAGGAGAAATGCTTATCAAACATATTACAAACACCCGGGTCAGAAGTGTAACCTGAGATGGTCTTCTGCATGATGGCCTCAGATATATTAGATGGTCTGCTGCATCTAACATATTCCCAAACTCGGTCAGGACAGCGTTTCAAGTCAGATTCAATAGAGACCTTTCATATCTGTTTATCTCTTTTTTGAGCAACATCACCATATAACTATGTTCCTTGAATAAGGAGTGCCCTATTTCCAAACCGGGAGACTTGTGTTTCTTGTGAAACCGAGATTTCAGGACCAATTCCTAGCGGAGATAACGTGAAAACCACAAGGGAAATTTACCTCGGCCACTTCGTTTTACCGGTATAAAGCGATCCATAGTAGTCTTCATGATATCTATTAGCAAAGAAACAGCAAGGTCAACATCATCACTTTGATAAACGTCGTCCCAGTCAGTGTTGTTCAAATGCATGTATAACCCGAAGTAGTCGCCGCGGAAACAGTTGTACGTTGGAGGCTGCGCATTCGACGTTCTAACAAACGGGAATGCAACGGTTACTGAGAAAAGAGGATGCCGCTTGTCTACAGGAACAAAAGTATCGGTAATAATGCCCTCCGGGGCCTCTCGGATGTTGGTTTGACAAAGGTCAAGGATATTTCCGGCAGCATTTGTAGTGTGGTTAATGTGGTCCCATCCAATAAAAATTCACAAAATCGATTAGCTCCTGTTCGCATCCAGAACTCTGTTTGTAACTGAATAAGTATACGAATCCCATTCGATTCTAGGCAAGTTAAAATCACCGAAGATTAACTCATTGTAAGTTGAAAAGTCAAACAACGTATAAATGTGATCTAAAATATGACTTAGTGTAATAAGGCAAAAACAAAGTGGGAAGTAGTAGTTTCCGATAAGCATAGTAGGGATATTAGCGACTTTAACTCCAATCCAAACGCTTTCATTTACCTCAAGAACAGTTGGTCTAAAACACGACAAAGGCTTCAGCACTGCAGAAAGTGCGCCCCCTCCTAGAGTCGAAGATAAACCTATCGAGTCACGGTCACATCAAAAAGCTTGACGTTAATGAACGTCAGGCAAAGCATTCACAACTGGAGATTGAACTGGTGGGTCAAGATAATGCATATTACATCAAAATCTGAAACTAAAATTGATGAAATAATATGTCAGACTGAGTCCTAAAACCATGAACATTTTGGTAGTTTATTTGTAAACCACTCACACCGGCAAGTTATCCTGAGTTTATATAGGTACTGATTTAGGCAATGGACCCCAAAAAGGCTTAAACAAGCATCTCAGGCCACGCGCTAGGGTCATTGAAACGGCTGACGTTTTCAATCGTGGTGCTGATGCGGAACGAAGCATAGGACTCATACTTGGTGCGGAGCTTTGTACAGATGAACGAGCCTACCTCCAGTGCAGACGACACAGGTTTTCTCAGGTCTTCACAAGTAATGGACGGATGAAGCCTGGAGACAAATAGAGCGCGCTTGGCAGGTAGCCGAGGCACAGAAGCAAAAGGGGCGTTCTTGGGGCTCCCACTCCAGGCGGAGGACGACGTTTGCGATAAGTGACAAGGTTAAACCCGTCACCGGGCTCAACAACTGCTTGACCACTTCCGATGTCATTTGGGCTTGGTACTCCAGCAGGGGCTCAAGCGTGGTCATGGTGGGATCTTGTGGTGTCCATTGTGATGGTTTGTCCTTTTGAAGAGAAAGCCGCAGGACGAGAGACAGCCGAAAGGGTGGTTCGTGCAATTTTGACATAGCTAGGTCGGTTTTCTGTGATCCCGGTGGAATCGACGGTATCAGGCGCGGCACGAGTGAGCAGGGGAAGTTGGTTGCTCACCTTTTCCAGTTCACCGCGTATGGCCGCATTCTCATCCCGAAAGAAGTGAATTGTATCGCCGAGCTGGTCCACTTTTTTGGCAAGCGACAATAAAATCTTTACAACACAGCAGAAGCAGTGTGTCAGTGCAGCGTCAGATGACCCGCAATC